AAACGCTCCGTCAGAACCGACTGAATAAGCACATTTTGGTAGTCTAGCAGAAGCATCTTGTTGGTCGATTTGAATGCTATCCCCTTACTATCGTCGTTACTCGGAGCTTAGGTGGTATGCTACAGTAGGTGACGCCTGGGTAGTGGGGCTTACGTGGTGAGCCTCAAGCTCCCGGCATACACGTGACAAGGAGCTCCCAAGTGGAACCGGTGGATAACGTTGTTATCGATAAGAAAATTTCCCTCTAAGTTACTCTAGGTGGGATAGAGGAAAGATTCTAGGATCTTTGGTCAGAGACAAAAACATAAGAAGGGCCAATTCTGGTCGCAACATCTCAAAAATGGTGAAGTCGTACTTGTAAGTTAACGAGAAAACCTTGGCGACTCAATCTAACTCAAATCCCAATAGGAAATACGAGCATAGCAAGTCCTTCGGCGTCGTCGCCTCGCCAACCTCGAACATAGTATGGTCCTCGAAAGATCGAACAGGAACCAGCGCGGGACAGGCGATCGTCGCAGCGAATGAAGAGGTTCTCTCCTGGGATATTAAGAAGAGCGAAGTAACAAGCCGCTGGAGAGATGAAAGATGCACGGTTCCCGTAACTGCCATTGCCCAAAGCAAATCCGACAAGGACGTCTTCGCTGTGGGATACGAGGATGGTAGTATTCGATTATGGGATAGCAAAATTTCCTCCGTGATCCTCAACTTCAATGGTCATAAGTCGGCAATCACAAAACTCGCTTTCGACAAGTCTGGTGTCAGACTTGCCAGCGGCTCTAAAGACACCGATATCATCATCTGGGATCTTGTCGCAGAAGTTGGCCAATTTAAGTTACGAGGACACAAGGATCAGGTGACTGGCCTTCATTTTGTTGAGCCAGAACCTCAGGTCCAGGATGAAGACGATGCGCACGCGATGGTCCTTGATGGTGAAGGAACACACGACGGATTCTTATTGACGACTGGCAAAGATTCCCTCATCAAGCTATGGGATCTATCGTCGAGGCACTGCATAGAAACACACATATCGCAGACAAACGGCGAGTGCTGGGCTCTTGGATTGGCCCCAGACTACAGTGGATGTGTCACTGCCGGGAATGACGGCGAGATCAAAGTTTGGTCGTTGGACGCCGACGGCCTTGCATTGAGCGCCCGTCAAGTTGATACACCTGCTGCAGTCCGATATCTTCAGGATCGCGGAACATTACACCGACAGAGTAAGGACAGGACAACCGAAGTTGTCTTTCACCCAAAGAAGGATTACTTTGCAGTTCATGGCTCAGAAAAGGGTGTTGATGTGTGGAGAGTACGGGCCGAGGCCGAAATAAAAAAAGCACTGGCTCGTAAGCGAAGAAGACGTCGAGAGAAGGCGAAAGATGGGAAGGCCGTTGAGGAGGAGGCCAATGCAGAGGAGCCAGTGGATGTTTCAAAGGCAGACATTAGCGACGTCTTTGTTCAATATGTCATTGTGCGAACAGGAGGCAAGGTGCGCTCTGTTGACTGGGCCGTCCCTAGCGGACAAAAGGATCTCCACCTGCTGGTAGGAACCACAAACAACCTGCTCGAGTATTACAGCCTCCCATCTAAGGAGAAGACCGAAAAGTCAAAGAGGGACGACGTCCCTGATTATACGAGAGCGCTATCCGTTGAGCTCCCCGGTCACCGAACAGATATCAGGGCGCTATCGCTAAGCTCGGATGACAAGATGCTGGCATCTGCATCGAATGGTAGCTTGAAGATCTGGAACACAAAGACGCAGAACTGCATTCGGACATTCGAGTGCGGCTATGCTCTATGCTGTTCTTTCCTCCCAGGAGACAAAGTTGTTGTGGTTGGCACTAAGAGCGGTGAATTGCAGCTCTTTGATGTGGCCTCGGCTGCACTGCTTGATAGTGTCGACGCTCACGAGGGGGCCATCTGGTCTCTCAACGTCCACCCTGATGGCCAGTCCGTCGTCTCAGGCAGTGCTGACAAGACAGCCAAGTTCTGGGATTTCAAGATCGTACAAGAGGAAGTGCTCGGCACAAGAAGAACAACGCCAAAGCTCAAGCTGCAACAGTCGAGAACACTCAAGGTTTCTGACGATATTCTGAGCCTGAAGTTCTCACCGGATGCCCGACTTATTGCTGTTGCCCTCCTCGATAACACTGTCAAGGTTTTCTTCGTCGACTCCCTCAAACTCTACCTTAATCTTTATGGTCACAAGCTTCCTGTCCTTAGCATGGATATCTCATTTGACAGCAAGTTGATCGTCACAAGTTCAGCCGACAAGAACATCAGAATATGGGGTCTTGATTTCGGTGACTGCCACAAAGCTCTCTTCGGGCATCAGGACAGCATCCTTCAGGTCGCCTTTATACCTCACAATGATGACGGCAACGGGCACCATTTCTTCAGCAGCAGCAAGGACCGCACAATCCGATATTGGGATGGTGATAAATTCGAGCAGATTCAGAGACTGGATGGTCACCATGGCGAGGTGTGGGCTATTGCCATTGGCCACAGCGGCAACCTCTTGGTTAGTGCCGGCCATGATAAGAGCATCCGAGTCTGGGATGAAACAGAGGAGCAGATCTTCCTTGAGGAAGAGCGCGAGAAGGAGATCGAGGAACTATACGAGAGTACTCTTACGACATCACTGGAGCGGGACCCTGACGCCCAAGATGAGAATAATGAGGTTGCTGCGGCAAGCAAGCAGACCACAGAGACTCTCATGGCTGGTGAGAGGATAGCAGAAGCTCTCGAGATGGGCATGGCCGATCTCAACCTACTCAGAGAGTACGAGGAAGCCAAACTCACAAACCCTCATGCCCAGCCTCCTCAACGCAACCCCGTCTTCCTTGCCCTCGGAAATATCACCGCCGAGGCTTATGTCCTCTCTGTTTTGCAAAAGATCAAGGCTTCGGCACTGCACGATGCTCTGCTGGTACTCCCCTTTGCCTCCGTCCCCATCCTCTTCACTTTCCTTAACATTTTCGCGATGCGATCCATGAACATGCCCTTGACATGTCGCATCCTTTTCTTCATGCTGAAGACGCACCACAAGCAGATTGTTGCCAGCCGCACCATGAAGGCTATGCTTGACGGCATCCGTGTGAACCTCCGTGCTTCTCTCAAGCGACAGAAGGACGAGATGGGAGTTAACATTGCTGCCCTTAAGGTTGTGGGTATGCAGATTCGTGACAAAAGTATCAAGGACTATGTGGATGAGAATTGGGAGGAACAGAACGATGAGAAGAACGCCAAGAAGAGAACGTTTGTTCATGTTGCTTAATTGGATGACTGATTATATGTACATAAGGGCAAAAGTATAGATTTGGTAGTATTATATCCCCGTTATTGTAAAAAAATCGATAACGTCATTTGTCTAGAACCTCTTGCTCCTTACATGACACGCGATTTCGATCATGAAGACAGTCCTGAACTTGTTTACCCCAAATCGCTAACTGTAACTGAGCACAGTTACTTACGGTGCCTACAAACTACTATACGCGTTGAGCTTCCTCAAGTCATATGCGCGAGTAACGCTCAGACGATCAAAATACTGTAGACAGGTAGAATATAGCTTACCATTTAGTCAGATTTATACTTCCTGATAGTTGCTTAGACATGGTTACAACAAATATACATATTTTCAAGATGGAAGCGAGGTGATGCTTTGTCTGCACGATTGAACTAGACCAGAAACAGTCGGGGACGCTTAATGATCGGAAAGCAAACCGATGAAGGAGAAACCATTGAATCATGGTCTCTGATAACATTGCGAAGTCGGCACAGGGTAGATCGAAATTGATGTATTGACTTCGTCCAAAGATACCCCACGACTCGATTACCGGGACTCATCTCCGACCGAAGCTTCTCCATCGGAGGAGCAGTTCCGAAACCGCTTGCTTGCTTAAGCCAACAGCTATTTCGCCATTGAGCCAGTGAATGAGCGTAACAACTGATAAAACTCTTCTTGTACCCATCGTTCGTAGCCAACATGTTCGCTCTGAGACGTACAATGGCCACTATGGCCCCTCAAGCTACGTCTAGCCTCAAGCAGGCCGGCAAGGTTGTCTGCATCGGCCGCAACTTTGCGTATGTTCACCCATGGTTCAACCACTATGACATAAACTGATGACTATCTCTTAGGGAGCACATTGCTGAGCTGAACAACACCAAACCCAAGCAGCCCTTCTTCTTCCTGAAACCTACGTCTTCCATCGTCCTACCAGGCGAGGGCCCCGTCCTGAGGCCCAAGGGCATTGACATGCACTATGAGGTTGAGTTGGCTCTCGTAATTGGAAAGCTCACCCGGGATCTTCAAGCCTCTGATACCCAGGGAGCTCTTGATGCTATCAAAGGTGCGTCGAGCAGTGGGGACTATCACGAATTATGAAAGGCTGACCATCTCCAGCTTACGCTATCGCCATTGACTTCACCGCCCGCAACGCCCAGAATGAGGCCAAGAAGAAGGGTCTCCCATGGGACATCGCCAAAGGGTTCGATACTTTCTTGCCTCTGAGCAACATCATCCCCAAGACTGCCATTAAGGACCCTCACAATGTTGAGCTCTTCCTCCAGCTTAACGGCGAGACCAAGCAAAAGGGCTCAACCAACCTCATGATCTACCAGATCCCTCGTATCTTGAGCGACATCTCCAAGGTTATGACTCTCCACCCCGGCGATATTGTCCTTACTGGTACACCTGCCGGTGTTGGTCCTGCCGTGCCGGGTGATGTTGTTCGAGCAGGTGTGAGAATTGACGGAAAGGAGTTGGAGGAGGGTGCCATTGAGATTCCTGTGGAGGAATCGCCTAGCTCATATAGTTTTGCCGAGACTTGAAGCTGAATAAGTTGAAGTGAGTTGTATCATAGTAAGAACCTTCGACGTGAGTGTGCAGAATATCAAGACATGAGTGGTTTTTTTCTGCAACTACTACTACATCACCACATTTCATAACCCATAAGCCGCCTCCTCGACCTTTTTATACAGAACTTTTGCTACATTTTGATGGATCACGCCAGATTAGGATCCTGAATAGTGCCGGGCTTCGGTGCCGCCTCAGCCAGAGTACCACACTTGGAACAAGTCCTCTTGTCTTCGCTGCTCTTAAAGTCTTGAACCGCTGCTTTGATTTGAGTGCCAAGGTCGGTGCAATGGAACGCAGCCTCGTGAACAATCTCACCACAGTCACTGCAGTACCAACGCATACGATCGAGTGAGTCCTTAGGACGACGCTGCTCTAGGACAACTCCAACTGTGTTGGCGAAGCGGACGGGGTTGTGCGGTGTGTTTCCAGGTAGGAGAAACATATCACCTTCACGGATGATGATATCTCGGAACGCCCCCTCGTCGACGACTTTGAGCATCATTGCTCCTTTGTATTGGTAGAACCACTCGGGAGTTTGATTGATGTGGTAGTCAGTGCGGGCATTTGGACCACCAACGATCTGATGACAGTTATTAGCCATGCTCTTACCATGAAGTATTATAGTATTAGCAAAGCGTGAGTTACCATGACACTAAAGTCTTCATTGTAGACACAGTAGTTGTTGATAGGGGGCTGTAGCAGATGGGAGTTTTCTTCAAGCCTATTGTACTCATAATGGGATTGATTAGTGAGCCTGCTCCATATTCTGTCTGTGTCTTGCGAATTGCTTAGAGTCAAAGAGATTACTCACCACTTCGGAAGGTTAACTGGAGGCCCAAGCATGATGAGATGGCTACTCGTATGTCCGCGTATGGAGATAGAATTATAAGCAAAGGTGAGAAACCAATATAGGTGGTGGACAGTGGAAATGTAAGAGGTAGTTGAAGTCAAAGATTGATAAGAGTGAGGGGCGTCAATTGCGGATAATTTGCAAGTATGAAGGTAAAACAAGTATAGTAGGTAGAGTTGCGGATGTCACGGGAGAGGCTGACATCAACCAATTACATATAACGAGACTTTACAATAAGATAACAAGTAGGTATTCAGGATTACAGAGGAGAAGTGCCTAATATTATATACTGATAATCATCAACAAATTCCATCTTGGAATAGCCGTGGTAGAGCTCCCCGCAGTTCCGCGGCAGTTGGTCCTTGTTAGTCGTCGGGAAAGGTACAGTGGACGAAGGGGGCTGTCGGAACGCCCCCGCCCTCTGTAATAGTGCCTAGCCGAGACACTGTACTTTGGTCCACAGACGTTTTACTACATCAAACAATGTACCTCGCCCGACTGTCGCGTCATTCCATCACTCCCTTGTCATCGCCATCGACCGACCTCTAACCACCATCTGAAGGGGTAGAGGGGTCCGCCTGATCCTGCGCACGTTTGAGCTGGTTTCATGAATTCCAGCTGCTCTACTTACCTACATCAATACACTGGACCGCCTCTTGGCAACTTCTGACTCAACTACAGCATTTATTTGTACCTACCATAGCGATCAAGCGAACAAAAACCACGATAACACAATAATGGATCACGCACACATGGACCACAGCGGCATGAGCCACAGTGGAATGGACCACGGAGATATGGATCATGGACACGGAGGAGGCATGAAGGATATGTGCAGCATGAACGTATGGTGCTATCTCCTCCTATCCATATGTACAGATGCTGATCATGGTAGATGCTGTTCACTTGGGACACCACCAATCTCTGTATCGTCTTCCGCCAATGGCACGTTCGCTCGACAACCTCCCTCTTCTTCTCCCTCGTCGCTGTGATTTTCCTCGCCGTCGGCTACGAAGGTCTCCGTTCCCTCTCGCGACAGTACGAAGAAGCCCTCGATAATCGCGTTCGAGCCGCACCCAGTAAGCTCCTCCTCTCCCTTCCAAGACCGCATAAATCCATTTCCTGTCCGAGGAACCCCAAGAACAAAACCAGAATGTTGCTTTGTATCTCCTTGCCTTGTCTGTGTTACTCTCTGGGGGAAATTGCCCTGCTAAGTCTTCCCGTGAGGTCTTGATGTTCCCGTTACTGAGTCGACTCCCATCCTTGCAGGACAATCCCAAGGACAGGCCGATCAGCGTGCTCACCTCATCAAGGCTGTCTTATACGGCCTGCAGAACTTTTACGCGTTCATGCTTATGTGAGTAGCCGAGTCTACTGTCGTGGTTAACAACTCACAATTCTGATAAAACAAGGCTCATTTTCATGACATACAACGGCTGGGTTATGGTTGCTGTTTCTCTCGGCGCATTTCTGGGGTATCTATTCTTTGGAAAGCGAACTTCTGCTACCAAGGATAACGCATGCCATTAAAGGGGCTCAACGTTTATGAAACGGTCATGACGAACCTAAAGGACACGCGAAGTCTAAATGATTGCAATTGGAAACCTAAAGCTTGACACTTTTCATCATAATCCACCACTATCAATGTTAAGCACTCTTTGCCTCTCTCTACGAACCCTAGAAATATCTGAGTTAACATTTATCAATCTTGTTTCTATTTCTATCATATACCTTCAAAATCTCTACATCTTTGACGCATCGCCAGGTTCAGTCCGCTTCTCTGGAATTTTCTCACCCAGGTCCCCCAAGCTATCCGCATGGGCAATGATCTCCTCATCGCCAAAGCTGTCATTATGCTCAAATCCAGGCTCCTGTGCATATGCAATTCTCGCTGCGTCTACCAATATGCGTGCCGTCATTCCCCAGACCTTGAATCTCCCATCTGGTTCCTCTTCTTTTTCTAGCTTATCAACCAAACGGCTCTGCTCGCTATCCCGCCGCGGCTTCGAGATGCTTTGGTTGTTGACTGGGACGTAAAAGTTGTGCACCCGCCATGGGTGATCTTTCCATTGATTCCAGAACCCATCGTACCATTGCCCTTCAGGCAACGTTTCACCCGGGGCGGGAGGAAGATCCTGCGCCTGGAGGAAATTGTAAAAGGGTGCACTGAAGACGGCGGCGACTTCGCGAGCATCGAGTCTGGGAATCATAGTTGCCTCAACCGTCGGTGCCGGTTCTCCTGCTGTGCGCTGGTCCGCATGGAGAAAGGCAACACATGGTCTCACGACGAGGTGTGTCCGAGCTAAGGAAGGGGGTAGATAGCAAAGATGCTCGACGCGGAAGGGTTTTGGAAGTTTGCTATCATCCATGGGAAGTCCAATTTCTTCCCAAGCTTCTCGGCGGGCGATTTGGACTGCATAACAGAATTAATGATGAAGAATGGCAGCTGAGAGCACACGCCTTACATGGTGTCTCTTCAAGATCATCTGCCTTGCCTCCGGGAAAGGCAGCATGGCCAGAAAAGTTCCTCAGACTTGCAGCGCGCATGGTAATTACCACGCGTAAATCGCCGCGACGGTCAGCATACAGCAGTACCAAGACTGCTGCCCGCCTCCGAACGGGTAGACGATCCCATAGTGGGAATGGAGGGGGCTTGTATGCACGGAAACGAGCAATAGCGGCCTTGCGAGATATGATGTTGGTCAGTAATCGGCAGTATATGTGTGAAGAGTCGCTCAAGAGACGCATTGAAGCAGCAAGGTGTGAGATATGCGGATGACGAGCAGGGCACAGGTGAACAGCTCAATTCGACTCAACTCACAGCGGACATTGCGTTCAAGGGCGACATGGTCAGAGAGTCGTAATACAGCGACGCCTCACCGTGATTGATCAGCTCCTCCCTGGTAGCTTCGCGGATGCCCTTCTGTAGCGCCTCAACCACGTCAGCGTCGGTGATGCTGTGGCTTTCAGTCTGTGTCTCAGTTGAGGTCTCGTTATTGATAGAGGCTCCTGTTTCGTAGATCATGATGGGTGATCAACGAGGGCCGAAACTCTAATAGCCCAGAGCGGACAAGCTCAGTCACTGAACCTGCTTCCTAGGCGACGGCTCACTATAAGAATGTATTTTTTCCCGCTCTTTTGGTTAAGCAGTTGTTAGTCTAGAGGTAGAAGCCTTGGGAGGGAAGAGACAAGTAAACTACCTAATGAGAGTTGCCTCGGTCAGGAAGCCGCTCCGGCTCCGGATCTTGAGGATCTGAGTCTGCGGGGGCGGGGCTCGGAAGACAACCAATTAGTCAATGGGTATGGGAAAACAGCCCGAGACAAGACGTATCACGGTTCTTATTAGGATTGATAGGCCACCTAGGTAATGGAGGAAAGAAATGCATATTTTAGTAATAACAGCAGCGAAGTAAAGCTATGCCATTTCAATGTGAGCGACGAGAATAAGAGGGAAACTCAGTACCTTGTGGTTCTCGACACAAACGATTCAAGATTGACCCAGCCAGCTCGACAGCTGCATCACTCACTTACCAGAATATCTCCCAGAAGCTCAAATTGATCAGTCAAATATATCATTATCAGTATATGGCACAGATTAATACTATGCAATCTGGGGCCAATTCTGAAACCAACACTAACTGATCCAATGGAAACAAGGTACGAGCTTAGCCTGGGTTTTATGATTGTTGCATTATACGGAGATAGATATTGAGCAACTGTTTCATACAATGTCTTCTGAATCGCCAAGGCAGGAAAAATGTAATATAAGGAAACAACCAGGGTCTGTTGCCGAGTACCAAACCTGGGCCTTGCAGATCATCTTTAAAGTCGATTTCACTTTGCTCTCACACCTAGTTCATGTCTCATAGAGTAGTTGCATTAATCGAATACCATTTTGGGGGAATCTTGTGTAATACGACACGCCGCGCTCAAATGCAATGCCAAGCAGACCTCATTCAGTAGGTGTCACCCATGTCTTCCTTATACTCATGACTCAACGTCCAATCTCTTCCTCTGGAATCATCTTGATCTGAGTTCTGAGCTGAGTTCGTCTCCTCTCACCTCTTGCTTGAATCAACCTCGCTCCGTCACGTGCATTTGAGATCAGGTCCTTGACCTGCACTCCTGTTCTTGACAAAGACTTATGTTCTGGTGATTTCTCCGGGAATTGTGGTATGGAACGAGGCTTTCCCAGTTCCATTGAGTTGCGTTCCTCACTTCTCCGCGCGAAGAAATCCTTGACGACTTCCCTCATTCTGCCATCATCGGCATAAAGCTCGTCTTCGTCATCGATTTCAAATATACTGCGTGGCGGAGAAGTAACACTCCCAGTTTCTGATGAAGGAGGTATTGAAGGTGAGTATGGCCCCTTTGTAGGATAACTGGCGGCCGTCAGAGATGCTCGGCTAGAGCTCGCGGACAAAGCCGAGTCTTTCCTTCGCGTAAAGAGGGATCTTGCCCCAACACTGAGACGTCGACTGAGTGAGGTGCGGGATCGTGCAAGAGAAGAAGCACCGTATATGGATTGCCGTTTGTCGTTGTTGGCCAATCTGGTGGCAATGCGATGATACTCATCCGCTGTTTCGAGGTCGCTGAAGTAGTTGTAGCATGACCCGGCCTGCCAATTAATATCTTCATCGAAGGGGTCTTCTAGGTTGGGAACTGGTTCTAATGCTGTCATTGTTGATGTTGCACTACTCAGGCGCTTTGTCTTAGCCATATGTAGTGATACAGATCTCCTTTGGGCTTTCGGTGATTCCGGAGACGTATAACTGTGATTGCTCAGCACGCTATCACAGTCTGGCTCGAGAGGAGGCATGCTGCTGTCAGAGGATCTTGGCTGATAGTCTGCGAGTGGTGTAGGCTCATCATCAAATATGGGTTCGTCCAAAGAGATGCCGTAACTACTGGATGAGTCGTCTCGCATGGATTTAGGCGAAATAGAAGGTGAATACTGAGGTCGAGATATAGCGGACGTCCAATCAATGCCAGGTCCAACGTCGTGGCCCGTAATCTGTTGAATTTTCTGAGATGATCTTCGTTCACGGAGTGAAGTGGTGCCCGATATACTCATACGCGATGCCCTTTGTCTTGTTAAAGCCTTGGGAACAACCACAGGGGGTTGCTGAGGTAATGCATTGGGATCATTTCCTGGGCCTAAGGTTTGTGGGAAAGCACTGAATCTTGGTGGTGGTTTCGCCTTTGATGAAGTCCTGGAGAGTGTCGTTGGAGGTAGTGGCAAGGGCCTATTGCGATAAAGGTATGCGTTTTGAGGTGGCAGTACGAGTTCGATACTGCTCACTGGGCGTGTGCAACTTGTCATACTGGTTGAATGTCCGCACTTGTCGATGGCCCGATCTTGTCGTTTGCTGTATAAGTCGGCCGCGTCGGGATATCGCAGGGTCAGGGCCCTGCATGCAGGATGACTCGTTGGTTTGCAACCCCGTGCTGCCAATGGTGGTCACTCGAACGACAGAAGCTGGTCCCCGATCTAACCTTGAAAGCGCACGGTGCCCTTTGTCTTGGACAAGTACTGCGAACTTCGAGCTGACCCCTCCAAAAAGAACTGTCTATCCTTTGATATCACCTTGAGAGATCGATATCGTCGAAATGCAGTCCACTGTGTTGTTGGATTCGAAGGAAGCACAAACAAAGCAAGTGTTAATAATGCGAGACGGAGGAAAAGCCTCGTTTTGCGTGGCCTTGAGTCGCCAACTACATCTTAAGACTTTCTCCAGGCAATTGTGAGTTTGAGCCGTCATAGTCCGGCGACGTGATCAGGCCTATAGGATCCCATTTCCCTCCGGAGTCACCTGGGATTTAGCGGGTTGTGGCGGGAGGCTTGAGTCTAGGCTCAGTGAGTCGAGCGACACATATTGGCCAAGGCCATGCGTAGCATTCCAGCAAGCTTTTCCCTTCCAAGTGTCTTGATTGCGAAGACTGACCGCCCAAGCCTCGCGAAGTGCTCACAAAGGAAAAAGTCGGTCTTTTCATCTTCCTTTTCGGTTAAGTGAACGAAGATCTCAAAGCATCTTCTGCATCTGGATGTGTGGCGGCCTGAGAAGCACGCACACTGCAAAAAGCCATTATCGTTGGAAGCCGTCTGGTCATGCCCATAAACAAGACAAGAGAAAGAAATAGAGACAACATTGCGACGTAGTCGCTAGAAGCCAGAGGGCGCCATCACACGCGCCAACGATGCCGGTACCTCCAAGATTCACCACATTGTAACATTATGTGTTCCCGGAAGCATCGTCAACTTTCACCGAGTTCCAATTTGTCTTCAATTCGTTTGATATAGCTATATTTGTAATTAGATCGAATCTTGGTCCAGGAGGGGCCAAGCTATCACAAGTAGACGCGGGACGAGCCATCCGGGCCATGGTAGGAAGATCGTCAGGTCATAATCATGAATCTGTAAACTTTCCCAGCTACCGGGAATGGCCTCGTGGCAACACAAGCCTTTGCCGGCCAAACCCTGATTCATTAGGGTATCTGGCCCAGCACGAAGCCTCAGTGAGGAATGTTGACTTGGCGAGTAGCATAGAATTAGGGAAAGTGTCCAAATCTTGCCCAGAGGCATGGTCGAGTATCAGCGACGCCGTAATTGCTATACAGCCCACCCCAGTTGACCGGGCTGACCGCCGTTTGGGTTCCCTGAGTAATTTTGTTGATGACGCACTTAATCGTCCTCATTATCTTTGCCTTGGTAATCTCCAAGTAGGATATCGTCGACTCCAAGGCCTGAAGAGTTGTTTCTCAACCATTCTGTCTCGACACGGAAGAAGATCCATACCCATCGACGGAACACTTCGAGGAATTCAATCAAAAAGATGCCTCCCTCTAGATCGCTGAACCTATCGAGACGTCCATTGAGCTTCATGGACCATGTGCATCTCAACATCAGATCCATGCCGATCACTAGATAGTACAGGTTAGGATACCTAAAAACAAGACGATCTCGCAGCCCGAAAGGATGAGTGGGTGATTCACGATCTTGCTTCGGAGAAAAAAGGGTCATGTCCCAATCCTTGGCCACATCCCAATAGAAAGAGTACAGAGAGTTGATGAGTACAGCAACAAGCCAAGCTTTGTGAAGAGCTGCTTTGGAGTCGGGGTCTTCTGCCGACCTTTGCCAAGCACTGGTAATGAGCACGGGGAATGCAGTCGAATATTTGAGAGCGTTGGCCAGGTGCTGGCCACCCCATCCCGTGGACTCCTTGTATGGGGCTCGCCGAACTCGAAAGTACTCGATCAAGCACTGGCGAAATCGTATTAAGCTCGGCACTCCCATAATAAATGGTACGAGCACTGTTCCTCCACAGTTGCGATCAGGTCGCTGCGTAGACGAACCTTCCGCCGAGAAGAACATGCATAGAGTAATGAAGAGATCTCCAAAAACCTTGGCATATGATGTCAACACATCCGCCAACAGAATATCCCCAAACTTGCCGTCCTGCGGCTCAGCAAGCCCGCCCAAGCTCACGCGTCGCAAAGTTGCCAAGAATCTTCTTCTTCCTCCGCTGGGCAGATTCCTCAATGGAACAATGAACATAGCAATCAAAGCAGTGAGATATGTCAACGGCATCCACCCGAAAGCAACGACACGCTCAGGTATGCCCCATGTGCAAACCCAAAAGAGCGACACAGATAATGCGAATAACGCCGAAAGTGCAATAGCGAGGCGGTACGTCGAGCCATGGTGCGGAATATGTTGCGGCGATGCTCGACCCGGATATCGAATCAACTGTGGAACGTCGACGTTGAAAAGATAGAGACAATGAAGATTTAGCCCCCATCCCCAGACAGCTATCATCGGTTAGAAAAAGGCAACATGACCAGAATAGGGATCCTGCTCACCCAAAGTCGCAATAAAGCCAACACGGTAAGGCAAAGGAAAAGCTAAGCTGAAGGAGTCAAGCCCCGGGTCAACAGCCGGATCACCGTCCATTGAAACGAACCGCCATCGAGCGAACGTCACAGGCTTATTGAACAATGAGATGCGCTCAGGAGCGGAGAAGAATGATTACAAGGCGACAGCGGCAAAAGAATGACTGGAAGGGTAAAGTTCATGAGGTTTTGCGACAGTCCAAGCTGTCCTCAACTTTAGGTGAGATTAAACATGAGCGGGTCCACACTCTTTTTTTCAGGGGTGTTTTGTGTCTACCGACCTTATCCCTGATAAACGTCAGCCTTTTCCTATCAGGCTTGGCGATGTTATCTGTGCCACAACTGCGCGCCACAATTGTGCTACTGCCACACTCACGACACGCGCGCGGCTGACATGATATTCCAACAGAAAACCCCACGCGCAACCGAACTCATCGAGACGCCACCAACCCTCCCCTCCCCACCACACCACACCACACCACACCGTACCCACCCATGCCCACGTTGCTTTTGAGGTTGTTTGTTTGCGGAAGGATCATCATCCAGCGACGTAAAAAAGGTTCTAAACGACACACGGAGGACTGGCAAGCGACAGTTCAGGGTGCAGCGGCTTCAAGCAGCTCGACATCCACCAGCATGAGGGAGGATGAGGCTGTCGAGACCCTCGTCAGCTGCGGAACTTGGCAACCTGAACAGCTAGATCGACAGCGCTAGACTCTGGATTGTAGCCGCACTCCTCTTGTCACGCCGTTGAAACAAGCCCCTCTGGCTTCTGCAAGTCCACATATCTTTCTCAATGTTAACAAGCTCCAGCCCAAAGGCCCTAGTCCGGCCACAAGCGCTCCTCACCGTAGATCTAGGGGTTAAATCCGGCTTGATACCATTCGCTAGCCCGAGTTTTTGGAACTGCGAGGAGGTTGCGGAACAGCAACTCCCCTTGCCCCGGCAGACCAGGTCTCCATCGGAGGCATGGGACATACAGCAGCTTGCAGGTACAGTGTAAGATTGGTCTGCGGAAGTTTGCTCTTGTCACTTCTCCCTTGTCTTTTTTGTCGGCTCACTGGTAGGCTGGTCCTGGCGTAGGTAATACGCTATCGACCGATGGCCCAGCCAAGGAAGGTCTCTATCCGTTGGGGACTTGGGAAGAAAATCCTTTTCAATCATGAAATTATCCGGCTGAGATGGTTCGTGACCAATGAAGGACCTTGTCCCACCTGCCTACATGGGCTACCAGGCTGCGCAGACTGGGAAGAGGGGCATCATATTCGCTGATCTACGAGGGGAGTTTATGCAAATCAGAATCACATTCACATTAATAACATAAATGGCCCTCATCCGAAGCTGTCCATAGTTGGAATGCTCTTGCAAGGCTGAAAAGAAGGACGTGGCATTGGACGATTCGGTTTGTCTGGGTGCACCCCATTAATGACCTAAGACCAGACGCCACTGTCACCTCTCCAGTGGGAATGACACATTGGCTTCGGTTTCTTTGTTAACGGACCCTGCAAAATACAGAGACAGACCCAGCTTTTCTTTTTTGTGCTCCTGATGCCTGCCGACGAACCCGACACTCTCCCGCTCTCCCACCTCCCAGGAGCAGCAGCACCAGGGCGTGAAGTAAGGCGAGGTGTGGCTCAAATGCACCCGACAGATGAGAATCCTGGCGGACGCAATCTTCCTTGAGCTCAAGTCAAAAATTCGGCGGCACAATCGGCTGCCGACTGGAAGCCCCCCCATATAGACCAACCAGTCCGCTGTCTGACACATTGGGGGAGCCCAACCTGCGGTTCTTCATGATATTCATGGATGCTCCATTATCCGGGCTCCTGGATCTAGAGGAATTCTAGCGGATCCGATCATCATGTATTCTTCTCAGACGCCAAGTTTTACCGCCGAATTTATCAAAGAAGAACCCGGAAAGCCAGTCCCCCAGAAGCCCGTCCGAAGAAGGGGCCTGAATGATCAGATAAAATGGGTGAAGGCGTGGATGTCAAAGTTACCTCAAGGGGATGAGGATTGGGACAACAACAAACCTTCGACGCTAGAGGACATTCTCCGTCTGCGTGATCGTTTGACCATCTCTCACGTTGAGTCGCGTCGGGACATGGACTGGCTAGCTCTTCTCGAGACCTATGCCGCTGCTTCCAAAGACTTTGAGGGACGAGAAACTCAGCTTCACTGCATGGTAATGGTCGCAGCCTGTCACGTGGCTCATGATCAAGGCCGTACCATAAACGAGGTTATGGATGCCATGGCTAAATGCGTTACTGGAGGCAGTGATACTCTTAGATCCAAGCGATTTGCACTACCCAAGTGTGTACAGATTGGCGATGAACTTGCTAAAGTACTGGGACCACGGGCGTATGAGCTCCCATTGAGAGGTAGGCTGTCTTGAGCTCCCGCTCGATTTATCCGATACAAGATTCTTTGTTCTCACGATGTACAAACTAGTAAACTCGTATTTTACTTTTGGCCAGCACTTTACCGTCGAATGCTTCCCGATACTGCGCAGAGAGTCTGCTTTTGCGCATCGTCCAAACAACAAACTGCCCTCAGACTTACTCCGAATTCCAAATCTCGTCTATGAACTCTGTGACGGGAAGGTTAGGTAGGTGACGGTGTCACGTCACTCCTGTGTCGATTTCTGGACTCACAATCGGCAGTCTACAACAAATCGAAAAGGCCCTAGAGCCAGGCGGTGCGAAGGCCAAGGCGAGATCGAAGTCACAGACGAAGTCGAAGGCGAGGTCGACGGGAAGCCCAGACAGCACCTGGAGTGTCGTTTCCAGCGCGAATACGGAACACGATATGATACATATCATGAAATAGAACTTGTCGTTTGTCGGAAAGTCTATACGGGTTCCAGATGGAGAGGGATGTAGAGGAACCTTATGTGTCCTCCTTGAGCTTTGAGCCCCGTTTCCCGGAGATGAAGGGCAGATGCTGGTTCCCACGTCTCCTTCTGGGAAGACCGTTTATCTCTGGAAACGAGCTCAACATCGTATTTTGTGTTTCCGAGGGCCACGACAACTGCAGTATACCCTTTTAGCAATGTCGAAGTGTTGCCTTTTTCGAGACGAAAAGCCTGGGGGCTAATCTCAGGCATTTTGAGATCTTTAATGACCATTCCGAACCCTCTGGCCCACGATTTGAGATCCTCTTCCTGCAAAGCATTAACATGTGATGAAACCAGGGGTTTGAGTTACTCCATGAAAAAGAATAACGGAAAGGCGAATATTACCAGATCTTGTAACAAAGCCTCACACAGTAGTCCACATGACTTGGGTAAGCCATAAGTCAATAACCCTTCTTTCTTCTCAACGGGAAAGAGAGTCAAAACTTCTGTCGTTGCGTCTTGTTGTAGAGCCTGCACACGGGGGCTTAGAGGCATCAGCCTATACAAAGGAGTTGTCATGCTTGGGTACTTTCATTGCATAAGTTGTGTGCCGCCAAGGAGAGTTAGAAGACAGCCGGGACCTACAGAAAAAGGCACAGTCAACCTGGACTACCTTAACAATTACTGCATCCGTACACGACACGTTAGGCAGCTACCTTGAGAAATGAACCGGGGTGCCTCAGGCTTCACGGCAGATCAGATCGTCCGCCGGGGATTCAGGATCGATGCCGTGGTGATCCCCTATCCGATGACAACCTGGTTATATGGGCGTCGGGAAAAGAGAGAACTCGTATCGTGAGTTTTTCTCGCCCAAGTATGTACTTTCATGCTTCTTGGCAGCCTGGGAACCCTCAATGGCGGCAATGCTTGTTCTGCGAGACAATTACTGGCCTTTGCTATACCCACGCCAGGCTTGCCGAGAGAGAAGAAGAGCCCCAGCCCAACCGTTGCAGGACGGATCTTTTCTTCCACCAGCACGCGATGGCTGCATTGTTTCCGCTATTCAAGTAAATGAGATAGAACTAGTGATGCAGAATTTTCTTGGTTGAGTCTGAAATGCATCATTTAAAAGGCTGCAAGCCTGGAACTAGTCTGCAGACAAGTGAGACGAGAAGCTAGTCAATGAGGCGTGAGCAAGTTTCCCCCTCGTCATGCCTCTTGCAACCTTTCTGGAATATCGTTGCGGCCTAGATCTACGATGCCTGAAGATCACCTTGGTCAGGTTCTAGAAGACAACGTTTTGTGTATCTAGCCTTGCCTCATTCGTCTTTAGCTCTCCAACCTCGCTGCCTTCAAGTTTCGCAGAATATCGCCATTCAGTTCCTTTCAGTTGAGATGAGCCTCCGGAGAAATCAGACTCGCAAGCTTATCCAAGTCCGTTAAGTTTATAACTTTGCTAAGTAGATAAGCATGTCAATATTGTCCACTTTTTCGTCAAGCGTGTTTGTGTTTGTGTTAGCTTTCGGCTCTAACGTGATCGCCCGGAAATGAAGTATTGGCCCACTCCTTCTTTGGACGGATGTGATGCCAGCCTCAGATCTACTCTAACTCTAAGCCTTGGATTGGCAGGGCTCTCGGTATTTGCTGGCGCCTTCTTTTGGGTGCTGGTCCCTGACTCGCGAGCTTCCACATTTCCGTGTCTCCGCCTTGGCTACCTAAGCACTGGACCAGGTAACGGGGTTACCCATGATCATGGACTAAAAATTACCAGAAAGGGAGGTAAGACAGACTGGAAATGACGATTGGTTGGGGTGTGTCTCGCCATAGAGTAGTAGTAGTTGGGGCTGGAAATATCGACCTAGGGTGTGATGCGCTCAACAACTTGGAAGGTTGCCAAATGAATCAAGATCGACTAAAAGCTGCGGAATTCGGATCTCGATGACGTAGATTATAGTGAAAGTACACGATAAAGAAAACATCCAAGTGGCTCACAGACAAGCCAAGGGAGCAGCAATATCAGATCAGGTTATCATGATGGCAAAGGAAACTGACACTCGGGGATATATACATGGGTATTCCCTTTCTTCACATGCCCGTATAGACCAATCAACTCGGCTTGCTCGCCTTTAGATATACCGAGGTCCAAAGAGATTACGGCCCAAAGGGACCTTGTCCTGGAGGAACTCCATCCCTTGAGGTTGATAGTACGTAAACAAACACCAGAGAGCCTTGAGATGATCTTACCACTTCTGTCGGCTCTAAAGGCAAGCTACGAGTTCCACATTGCCTCTACAAACCCCGCAACCGATCTACGAGCTAACAGGCTTCCCACGCTTCCATATCATTTCCACATTGTGCCAAGCGCGGCGGAAGTTGCCAGGCCACGCAGATAGGCCCAGGGCTGAAAACGATGACATTGATTGACAGCCTCTGGTACCGTGTCTGTCATCCATCGGCTATCGACTGGCCCAATTTTCAGGGGTCTCGTTTCTTTGTCTGTGCGTTCCGAGCGCACCAAAAAAAGAAAGAAAAAAAGTTTGAAATACTTATAATATTCCTCCATTCAATCGCTCGGACCTTCAGTGGCCGGACTTTACGTACATATGTGACCGGCTACTGGCTTATGTATGTATGCACTGATGAATTATCATGATTTAGGGTTGGGCTTTTACCTAAAAGGGGCGGGCCGTGCCTGTAAGAAGCGCCGTTGTGCAGATTAAACCCGTCGTATTCACTGCGTTGATGAGGCGCAACCGAAATGCTTGACACTTTTGACAGCCAGTGGTAACCGGTCATGGTCCGGATTATGCCCGGAGGTAGGCATAACATGCTCTATTATTAGACTGCTTTCATGGATTGAATGAGGCCGAACCCCCTCAAGGTATAATGCAACGACCTCATTCTCGTACCGTCCCTAGGTATGCCAAAAGGGGGCCGATAGATAACGAAATTGTATGTAACAAAAGCAAGCGACTTTTGATACACAACACGTCAGATACCAATTGTAAGCTGTTGCTACCCAAGTACAGCCACCAGCCCAGGGCGCCGATCAAATCACCGAATGGAGCGTGCCAAGCCAAAGGATTGGCTCGTTCTGCTTATCCGCAATCCTCTGAGACTATTGATGCCGTGAAGAAAGGTATGGATCACATACCGCTTTGATATTCAGCTATTGACTATAGTATCATAGATGTCTTGCTACTATGTACACATACCTAAACACGTTCCTTTTCGTCCATGCCAGGCTTTGAAGAGCATTTCTGATGTCTATCAGCAATCAAGACGCTGTCCTTGGCGTCGGAAGTGATGCACTAAACAGTCTAGACTGTACCCTGGCAGGACGAGATGTTGCCAATTTCTAATTATAGATGATCTCGCCTAGGTAGCGACTACTACTTAATACGGCCGGCGACATGAAAACTCGGGTTACACCAGCTGGTGTCTGACCAAGCCCTTCACAACGGCGCAGGAGAAGGAGAGAAATTCGTGTGGTAGAGTTGCATACTGAATGAGTGCAACAGACCGAATGAGGGCATTGGTCGCGCCTCTCCTCTTTCTGGTATCTGGTATGCTATAACTCATGTTATAGGTTGACGCCAAGGTACCAATAATGACTTTTCCGTATATCCGTGATGGTTCTCTATGTGCTACAAGTATGTAGAACGATAACGGATGGGATGATACTGGAATTACCGATACACTACATCCCCTGTGCGAGTATACATAAGAACACATGTCACCTCTGGTTTGATCGTCCCAGCAAATTCCAATAGGGGACGAGTGCGCGTTCATTGCTGCTGTGGCTCATGATTCGGCCTTTGGTCGTGAGACGGTGACATGTGGCTGTCGCGAAATGTCACCTCGACTACAGAGCACCAAACTGCAGACGCTGGAGGAGTCACATTCATCATGGACGTCGCTTATGTTGCTCCACCATTTTTACAGTACCTGGCAGTTGTCCTTACAGTCAATTTTTACAAGGCCTTTCATAACTAGGTACTATAGGTAGGAGATAGCCTTGAAGGTCAAAGGCGTTGGAGGCAATAGATAGAACGCCCATCAGGTTTCTACCCCTAGCGAACGTGTCGACTCCAAATCATCTGTCTCAAATCGTCCAGTACCATACTTCGCATGATTGAATGCTTCATCTCCCCTATCTTTGGGGTTTCACCAAGCACCCTGCATGTTTAGCTGCAACACTACGCCTCCATCTCGCCTGGTTTTGGCTAATCCAGCGGTTGGCGAAATGTCCTCATGGACACCATTGCCCCCTCAAAAGGCGACCTTCGCATCCATCCATCCATTCTCCGAGGCCAAAACGCGTACTCCGTATACGACAAGGTTATCTCTCGGCAAATTCTACTCACTTTGCAGGATGCTCTAGAGTCCTAGACGAGCCATAGACAAGGATAGACGTGGGCCACCTAGGGGGTGCAAATGGAAAATGAGAAACTCTTTTGCACTTTCTTTACCAATATAGATACCAGGTACCTAGCCAGTCATACTTATTGTAAAAATCACCGATATATACATAGGTAGGTAGGCAGTAATTACAAACCTGATACCACGTAATAAGCTTATGGTTACCTAGTTGACAAATAACCTATTATTGGGGTAGCATAGCATAAACTTATCAGAGTTTGTTTGTTTGAGAGGCATCTCTGTCCCTCGGTTTCCTCCCCTTTGACCTCAAGTCATGGCAAGTGGATCAAGGGCCGGTATCATATCAACACACAAGAATCATAAGTCGAAGATGATTCCACAACGGTCATACGTGATATTCTCAATTCCTAACGATTGTCCAACGATTTTTAGTTTCAGGTCGTCCTTAAAAAAAAAGAAAAGAAAAAAAGACACGTTAACACGGTCCATGCACTAGGGCTGGACGACATACTTATCTTAGTACAGAATAGTTAGTAGCTAGATCTAATACAGGCGATGATGTCTGCAGCTGGGGACGGGACTCTTGGACATCCAGGTCTAGGGGGGAAAT